TTGTGAATCATCAGCAACACATGAACCCTCTGAAACTCTCAATCCATCAGAAACACCTGAACCTTTTGAACAACTTGACCAAACTGAAACACCTGAACAATCAGAAAATCCTGAACCTGCTGACTTTCTGAAAACTGTAGTTGATTTTGAATCTCTACAATTTCTGAAAAACAAAACCTACAAAAAGGTTGTTCCCAAACCTGTTCAGCCAGATGTAAATGTATGTTTTCAGAATTTCTTAACAAAACTACAAGCTTGGTTGGACCTACTGAAGGCAGACTGCACCAGAAATGTGAACCCAGCAACAACAGATCTTCTGTGGGAAACGTTCAGAAGAACCTTAGATGCTGAGTCACTAAAGCTGCAAGACTTATGTCATTCTCAGGTGCTTGAGAACTTCTCCAAACATCTGCATGCCTTTCAGTCAGAAGCTGCTGATATTTGGGACAAGAAGTCTTCTCTGATGATTGCTAATGCTCCAGCTGATCAAATGGACTTTTCAGAAGATGAATCTGAAGATGCCTCTGAAGATTCAAATCCTCTGGCAATAGTTTTGTTGAATCAACCTTCTGCTAAAGCTGCACCTGAACCTGTGACAACTCTTATGGTGGACCTGGGCACTCTTCTTTCAACTTTTGTTCATTCTGACTCAACGGTTGCTACTCCAAAGGTTGTATCTGCTGAAGCTTCTTCATCCTCTGCTCCTACTTCACTTGTAATGGATACTCTGAATGAGCTTAAGAGGGATAACAAAGCTATTCATGAGCGCTTGGACAAGCAAGATCAGACAAACCAGGAAATCAGAAACTGGATGATGAAACAAGAGGAATCTGCATCTGAGATCAAGAATCTTCTTATGGCCCTTGTTTCTAAGAAATCTTAGTGTCATTCTATTTCTTGTTTTTGTTCGTTGTTTTTTGTACCTCTGAATCTTTTATTAAAAAAACTTTTACGCTCTTCAACTATTTTTATATACTTTTTTATTATGCCAAAAAGGGGGAGAAAATGAGTATTTTGATCTAATATCTGATTAACAGTTATGGGACGAAGTCTCAAACATTCTAACAAAATACAAAGATTTCTTTCTATGTTTCAAAGAACTTTGCAGGTATCACTAAACTCTGGAAGTTTAATTCAAATGAACATTATCTTCAAAAGACTTGTTGAAGAAATCCCAAAAGAAAATTTCAAAGCTCTGATGAAAATTCTCAGGAAGTTTTTCTTATAGAAATATTTATTTCAGGGGGATATTCTTATCTCTTATTCAAATTTATTTCTATATCTGAATATTTTTGTCATCATCAAAAAGGGGGAGATTGTTAGAACAAGATTGATTCTGATCATATCTCAGAGTTTTGATGATAACAATAAATTATATTTTATATATTTGATACTCTGCTGAACATATTTAATTGTTTCAGATAATGTTCTGACAGAAGCATTTTGAAGTGCTGAGCTGAAAATAAATGAAGAAGTTCTTTGATGAAAGAACTATTTGTTTTAGCGCAAGTGCTGATGCTGACTCTGATAAGAAATTATTTAATGCATCTTCTAACGCTTAGCAGGTTTCCCTGTTCAGAAGTACTTTGAAAGCAAGCGCTGATCAGAAGTACTTAGCAAGCAAGCGTTGATAAGAAGATATGCAAGCATGTTCTGAATCAAGACGTGAAGCTAGTTCTGAAAGAATATAAAAGCTAACAAGTCTTGTCAAGGATCAGGAAACACGCTCTGACAAAGTTCCGTTTGCTCATTTAATGCAAAGACGACTACATGCACTCAAGTGTCTATGCTAGTTCATTGGAAAATGCAATACTGCAAGCAAACACGCAAACATTTATTGCTCTCCATTTTTGAAGGCAGCAACGGTCATTTTCTTCTTACTATATATAGAAGAACATTTATTGCAAGCCAACAACTCAAAAAATTCAAAAGAAGCAAAAACTACGTGAAAATATTATGGGCTCACAGATTATTTTACATACACTTTGTGCAATACTAATCTTAGTGAAAAATCACAGTTGTGATATAGCTTTCTTAGAAGCAAATTTTGTTTCACTATCTGTAAAGATTTAACTCTTGTAATTGTTCCTTGAGAGACCAAGTTTGGTCAGATTTCTCAAGTAGACTAGGACTAGTTTAAGTCTTAGTGGTGTTAGTCACTTGTAAGATTACTTGTGCATTGTTAGTCACAACAGTTGTTGTATGATTGTAATCAGTTGATTATAGTGAATTAAGTCCTTGTTGAGAAAGGCGAAATCACCTTGGCGGGTGGACTGGAGTAGTTTGAGTTCAAACGAACCAGGATAAAAATAACCGTGTCTTTCCATTATTGTTGAGGCTTTAAGAAAAAGAAAAAGAGAAACTTATTCAACCCCCCCCCCCCCCTCTAAGTGTTTTCTCACCCTTCAGTTGTGCCCCCTTAAGATATAACCGAGTTGACATCACAATCCAATGGTGTAGAAGCTTGATGGCCGTTGCTTGAAAGATTTTGCTGAAGAAGATTGATGAGTTGAATGTATTGATCTTGAAGATTCACTGTGGAAGAAGGTGTGGAAATTGGAGTATATTGAGGCACTTATGGAGCTTCTACAGTAGTTGAGTTAGCAGAGGGAAGCTTGCATCGTTGTTGAAAACCAGGGGGATAACCGTGTTTGGCAAAGCAATGTTCTACAGTGTGGTTAGTACGTCCACAATTAGTGCAAACGCGGGCGTGTCCTTGATTGCTTCCATGGCCAGAGTTGTTTGGGTGACGTCCACGCCTCTAAAGGGAGATGTAGAGGAACCACGACCATTGTCATTGTTGTTTTGAACTTGAGCTGATAATGATACATATCAGTGGTTGCAGATGAAAAATTGAGTTGCTTTTCTTGGCCAAGAACAAGGGAAAATGTATTCTCGAGTACTGGTAAGGGTTTAAAGAGCATAATTTAAGAGCGAACATGAATGTATTGATATTTAAGTCTTTGAGAAACTTTAAGACTTTGTCTTGTTCACGAAATTTGCAAAGATCAGATACTGCTCCACATGTACAGGGAATGGCGCAGGTGCAATCACGTCTTAGACAGTAAATGTCGATCTGCTCCCATAGAGATGTAAGTTGAGTGAAATAGTTGGACACATCAAGGTTACCCTGCTAAAGACGAACCAACTCATCCTGAAGGTTAGAAATGCGAAAGATATCCCCTTCAGAGAAACGATCGCGTAAGGTTTCCCATACCGAATGAGCGTTATCCAGCCATAAAATTGTCTGAGCAATGTTATCCGAAATGGATCTTTGAAGTCAAGAAAGGACAAGATTTTTACCATGTATCCAAGAATCATAGAGAATAATGGTGGAATTAGGTTTGGTAAAGGTGTCATCAATAAACCATAGTTTATTCTTGGAAACCAAGGCGACTTTCATTGAGCGAGCCCACGAGAGATAATTTTTGCTGTCAAGTGGGGGAGTAACGAGGATGAGGGTTGGGTTTTCGTTCGAATGAATGTAGTATGGGTTGGAGAGATTGGTGGAAAAATCGGCGTATGTAGTTTCCGCCATGGATGAACATAGGAATGAAGGGTTGCAAATTAGGGTTTTGGGAAAAGGATGTTGAAAATCGGCGAGAAAAATAGCGGGACAAAGAAGATGAATTTCTAAGAAAGGGTTATTAGTTTTATGGGTAAAACATGCAAGAAAACAAAAGAAATTTCAGAGATTTGGCGAGAGATTTCCGGTTGATATTGTTCAAAAACAGAAGAAATAGTCGAAGAAGAAACGATAACGCATCAGAAAAAAGAAATCTGAAAATGCACCCGCACAGAGACACATGTAAGAGATTATGATAAAATAAATCACGTGTGAAAAAAAATGGTGGGTGGAAGAGAGAAGGGGAGTGGGTCCCACAGAAAAAAAAAATGCCTTAGGAGATATAACTCCTGATACAATCACAATGTTCTTATCAGAATATAATGTGTCATTACTACAAACAAACAATAGAACTCTATTTTATTATTAAGGGAAAGTCTCATATTTATATACATATACACCAAGTAACTATCCTATATATGAGGAAGGATAGAAACTGAAATACATATAGGCCAAATATAAAATAGAGGACTTAGTCTATATTTTTTATAATTGTGACATGGTCTTCCAAATCCTTATCTAATCTATGATTTTGTATCTCGTATCAAACCATCACCTTCTAATTGATACCAATATCATTTGAAATAAATCTCACTCTAAACGAATATTTAACCTTCACACTATAAATGTCATCATAGGAATTAATGTTTTCAGATGCATTTCTTCTTTTGTAATTTCTCCTTCACTACAATCCATAATTAATTTATCCTTTCTCCCTCGCATACCATTAACTGAATTAAAATGAATAGTAACAACAACAATACCGTGTTGTTTACCAGTAGATTGTGACCATGCTAAAACTTCATATCAGGAGTTAAAAATCTATCAATTACAACATATAAATATTAAACTATCATTTTCATAAAGACAAAAAACAATTAAAAACTGCATTAGTTCAATAGGAAATATATCGTATTTGTAGTGAAAAATTATGTAAAATCTATATATAAATCCGTAGAAGAAGCTGTTGGCTCTGGACCACACAAATAAATAATTTTATCTGCAGACATCGAAAATTTCAAATTTTACGCAAAATTTTGATATATCAGAAATTTAAATTTTCTGGTAAATTTTGAAAAACACAAAATTGAATAAATTTTGCTTTGGTTAACGAAAATTTCAATTTTAACCCCTTTACTAATAATAATTTCTTTAAAATATAATTTAAAAAAAATAAATAATAACAAAGGCATTTTTGGAATTATGAAAAGATAAGGGATGGTAGGTATAGTTTAGGGGTGGTTATATATGAGCATGAAAGGCCCAAACGTAATAGTAATTTGCAGTGAATAAACGGTCCAAACTCACATATGCTGAAACCGCTAAACCCTGGACTTGCCTTCTTCCCACCTCAACTCTCTCCCTCTCTCCGATAATGGCCACCAGGTACGCATGTTCTCTACGTCCTCTCTCTATTTTCTTGTTACATCTCATTTTCTTACACAAAACGGTATGTCAAAAATCGATGCATCACTCATGATCTGTTATCTGTTCAGGCGTTTGAGGGCATTTAAGCGGTGGATGAAATCCAATGGATTTGAATGGAGCAACGCATTGGAGTTTGTGGACACCCTTGAACAAGGAATATCCGTTAAAGCATTGTGTCAAATGAATGAAGGTGATGTGGTTGCGAAAATGCCAAAGCAAGCTTGTCTTACCATCAATACTAGTGGTGCATGTGACATCATTGAAAATGCTTGTTTGGGTGGTTATTTGGGTCTTGCTGTTGCTATCATGTATGAGAGAAGTTTGGGTGAGGATTCTCCTTGGGCTGGTTACCTTCAGCTTTTGCCTCAACAAGAATCTTTGCCTTTGGTTTGGACTCTTGATGAAGTAAGCTGCCTTTTGTGTGGTACTGAGCTTCAACAGGTATAATTTATAGATTTTAGAGCTTAAGCTCATCATGAGGGGTTTGTTCAATATGGAATTATAGAACTACTATGACTATATAATTTAGGACTGTGTTTGTTGTTTTCTAGCAAAAGGGGTGTTTTTATTGACTAATTTAAGCTTATGTAAAGACATAAGCACTTTTGAGACTTGTTAAGAGTCTCACATTGGACAATATATGATCTGAACATATGCTTAAAAGTGGAGGCAATCCTCACCCCTCGCCTAAAAGCCAGTTTTGTTGGGATGAATTAGGGCCAAACATATTTCTTAACATGGTATCAAGAACCTCATTTAAAAATCTGGCAAGCCACCTGCTATCAGGTTTCTAGTATCGAGCCATCCACTATTTATTTCCATGCTTTAGTCCAGTCCCGAGCGTGAGGGAGTGTGTTAAGAGTCCCACATCGGACAATATATGGCCTGAACATGTGCGGACAATCCTCACCCTAAAAGTCGGTTTTGTAGGAATGAGTTAGTCCTAACCACATTTCTTAACAAGACTATTTGATAGAGATAATGGAAACCACTTATGACATGTTTATAGGTTGTTTTCAGCTTGTTTTTTCATAAGCTCTACATGAAATCTTGTGAAGACAACTCATAATATATGCAAACAATAAGTTATGATGTGTTTATGCCCGTATATAAGCTTTTATTTTATCTCTTGTTATAGAAATAGTTCACACATAAGCACTTATATGATAATTGCTTAAGCCATGAGCGTGTAGTTAAGCTATTTATCCGAACAGGGTCTAGGCCTTCTTTGCCCCAATATGCTTGTGTGAAAATGGCAAGAGAATACTGCTTGTTATTTCATTAATTTGTACTTGTTAGTTTGTCATTTAGGTTTAGTTATAAGATAATTTCATGACTGTTAATTAGGCCTTTGTATTAAACAAATATAGTGAGATACAAAACTATGTGCTTTTACTTTCATGAAAATGTTCTGATCTCTTACAATTGTAGGCAGACAGTGCAAGAAGACAAAGCTCTTGTGTATGAGGACTGGAAAGAGAATATTCTACCCTTGTTGGATTCAGAACCTTCAAGGCTTAACCCGACATTCTTTGGTGTGGAACAGTACTTTGCAGCCAAAAGTCTTATTTCTTCTAGATCTTTTGAGATAGATGATTACCATGGCTTTGGCATGGTCCCCCTAGCAGACTTGTAAGTGAAGAATTCAATTTTGTTTTACGTTCTTGACATTTAAACTAAAGGTTATTAATGTGATGAATCGTAAGTTTGCAAGTAGTTATCTTGGTGGTTTACATAGAAGGACTAAGAAAATCTTTTGTGAAGATTTTGAGGTCTTGCAGTGAAGCCTTTTTTTTTATAGCTAGTTAATGGACTAGCTGTTCTTATAATGTACTGATTCATTCAAAGTTTCTAACATTAATCTGCATATCCTATTCTAATGATGCATACACAATGGTCTTCACCAGATTCAATCATAAAACGGGTGCAGAAGATGTGCATTTCACGGCTTTGTCTTCTAATGATGAATCTGACGACGATGCTGACGAAGGAATTGTTGATGAAGAAGCATTAGCTGAAAATTCATCTATGGATAAGACTGAGAAGGGTGTTAGTAACACGGAGTATTCGGTTACTGAGGATGATACTTCAATGCTGGAGATGGTTATGATAAAAGATGTTAGCAGTGGAGCTGAGGTAAGGAAGTTCCTTTCATTTTATGCACTTTTTTAACTACCACCGGAAAGTGATTAGTATTCCATTTGATACAGGTATTTAATACTTACGGCTTATTGGGTAATGCTGCTTTACTACATAGATATGGATTTACCGAGCAAGATAATGCCTATGATATTGTAAACATTGATATGGAGCTGGTACTTCAATGGTGTTCTTCTCTATTCTCTGACCGCCACAGCAGATCAAGCATCTCTCTTTGGAGAAGGTTAGGCTATTCCGGTGACAGCGAAAACTCAGAATATTTTGAGGTATCATTTGATGGAGAACCACAGATTGAACTCATCATTTTATTACACATCATGTTTTTACCAGTCGATGTCTACCATAAATTAGACTTATCAGTAGCAGTTGCTGGAAATCGTCACGAATCAAGTGAAAAAACCACTTTTTTGAATGGTAATATTTTTCCACATAGTAATGGGACTAATATGAGCAAGAAACCATTGATGACAAAAGAAATTTGCACGGCTTTGTTGTCACTGGCTGATATAAGGGAGAGTCTCTATGGTTTGAAATCAATGGAAGACGATATTGAGGCATTGGAAAGGTGTAGTTTTGTCGGAGATAGAAAGCTGTATCATTCTTTGGTTCTGCGTATCAGTGAAAGGAAGATCATTCAAAAACTCAGAAATTATGCTTCAAAGTCATGTAAGATTACTAAGCCTAGTTCTGCCCGGAAGAAGTTGAAAAGGACAGCATAGAGAGAGTTTTTTTTTTTAGTTTTTTTTTTAGTTTTTTTTTCATGATATACTCAACATTATGATTTGTGATTTTAATTTTGGGGCATATTCATTGGCCTATGCAAAGTAGCAGAGTAACTCTTATTTTAATTAATTTTTGTAGACATTAAATTTCACTAGTTCAAACATCAAATTAATAGCGTTTGTTGAGTAGATTACATTTATAAAGTTTTATAAGTGTAAAATATTTTACACGTACATCACAAATTTTCACAAGTAATATTTTATATCTGATTAAAAAAAAAGTTAAACATTTAAAAAAAAATTTAACGGTTATGATTCACTGATAATATATACTTATTCTATCGGTGTATTTTAATAAAATTCATAAAATATTAATTATAAACTTGTATAATTATGTAGGTCCAATTTGTGTAATTTTTGGTATGAATGATAGTTACATTGAAACAAATTTAACCGTTTGATTTATGCATTTTATGTATTAAACGAGTTATCAAATAAATTAATAGAATATGTCAATATACAATGTTTTATTTGATGTGATTATAGTTATTATGCCATTACTAGTTTCCTAAAAGAACATTGCTAATGAAGGGAACTAAATTATATTCTTAAATGCTATTCTTTCCGTTCCTTTTTAAGTGTCATTTTGGCAGAATTTTTTTATTTTTATTTAAGTGTCGTTTTTATAGTTTAATGTTATCATTTGTCAATTATATCCCTACTTTCTCAATAACTCCACTTCACATTTTTCATAAAATTAATTATTTTCTCAATTAGTTATTGGAAAAAGAGAGATGATGTATGATTGAATTTATTTGGAAAGAGAAAATAAATGAGGGTATAATAGGAAAAATAACTCTAATAATCCACTATCTTGGTTGAAGAACTTTATGTTAAAATGACACTTAAAAAGAAACCGAGGGAGTATCAATTATCTCGATCTTAAACCCTTAAACCTTACTGCCATCCCCGTCTCACTATCTCAATAGCTGAAATTGTTTCTTCCACAAATCACAATGGACAATGACTCTAATCTTTATATCTCATGGTCTGCCCTCTTTAAGTTTAGTGCTTACGATCTTTGTAATCGTTTAGATGTTATTGTCTTTGTAATAGATGTATGCAAGTGTCTCATAAAACATCTTTAATTTTATCTCTATGATCGACGATTCTGCCGAAAAGTGTTGGAACCACATCACTGCCATGTTCAGCGATAACAAACATTTAAGGGTAGTTCAACTTGAAAATCAGTTTAGCAATACCAACTTAGAGGATTTTTCATCTACCAAAGCTTACTATAACAGTCTGAAAAATCCTTTTTGATCAACTTGTAAACATCTATTCTCCGGTCTCTAATACCCGTTTAGTATTGAAAATGATCTATGGCCTCATTGATGCTAATGCTAGGTTTAGGACTTACATCCAACAACAAGACCCTTTACCAATATTCTCCGCTGCAAAGTCCATATTACAACTCAAATAATCAACTACTCTTCAAAGGGATGCTCACAACTCTCTATCATCCACACTGACGACGCTTATGGCCAACACCACCACAACAACCTCTGATCTCCTCCCTCTATCCTACCCTGCAAACAACACACAAAACAGGATTGTTGCACCTAGAAACTACCAAGCGGTCGAAGGAAGAAGAATAACCACAATAACGACGACAACCAGAGCTATGGGTGATATATGATGTAAGGGAACATGCCATTATCTAGGAAGGTGTGTGTAGTAGGTTAGGGGGTGTGCATCATTGCATAAGGAAAAGAGGTTTCGTCAAATATAACACGGCAATAAATGATAAGTTTATTCAAAGATTAATCTAGACATTTATAGTTTCTATGATTTGACGGATATTCAAGAAAGATACATGGTGTGGAGCAGGGTTGAAGTTTATGAATTATAATGGATGGAAAAAGGGGTTAAATTAAACATCTAAATACATGTAAGTGGGAATACGAGGGTTTTTTGTACAACATTTAAAGAGGTGGCTCAAAATTGATGATTTTGATATGTAAAATATTCAAAAAATATGTTATCATTTCTAGTACATAATGCTAAAAAGATGGGGGATAATGATGCATGAATTAATAATGTTCAAATAAAATTATTAATAAAATATATTTTTTTGTTCAGATTTACCATTTTGAGAAAACATATAAGGGCAAGACAAATGAAAATAAATTTCATATATTTTCGAAATTACTATTAACATCTTCACGACCATTGTCACATTTAATGATTTTGATTTTTCATTGAAATTATGTGTTTATGTAAGCTAAGAGTTTTTGAAAACATGAATATACTTGAGATTTATGTGGATGGGAAATATACATTTTTATTTAATAATTATCCAAAAATAGAACCTAGACTTTGTTCGGTAAGACATTTTTTGAACTTATAGTTTATTGTTTTTTTCCCTCCATTTTTATCTGTTTAGTAACAATTTTTTTTATCATGAGCTTATAACTTATTTTACTAGCTTATAGCTTATTTTCCAGACGCTATTTCTAATATCATTTTAGCTTATAGCTTATAACTTATCATTTTTCTTCCGTTTTTACCCTTATTATATTATCTAAAACCCACTACTATCCTTTATAATTTATTTTAATTTAAAATAAAATAACTATATATTAAATGTCTTTTATGTTATTTTAATTTATCAACTAATTGAATCACTAATTTTACTAAACACTTCAATTAACTTATCAGCTATAAGCCGTCAACCTTTAGCCATCAGCTATAAGCTATCAATTATCAGTTCATCAGTCATAAGCTATAAGCTGTCAGCTAGCTTATCATCCAACCACATATTTTACCAAACATAACCATAGTATTTGTGACCTAATAATATTAAAATGAGAGATGTCCATACATCATTATGTAAAATATTAAATGGCTATAAACTATAACTATTGGAATTCAAGAACGAGAATTTAACATGTTTACTAAGAAGAGAAGAAGGACAAAAACGAGAATGTAGCTTCCTAAGATTATTTTGTCTAAAAGAATTTAAAATTTGTTCTCTCGAATGACCTAAACGACCATGCCAAAGAAAAGATGACAATACTTGAAAGAAGGATGTAGACTCAACTTTATTTGTAGAGGTAATGTTGTGGTGATGGGTAGAGATCGCCTCGTCTCTCACATCTCATAGAGCCATCCCTATTTGAAAATCATTCATAGAAAAACCAAACACATGAAATTCAATTGAAATTTTATTATTTGTAGTAATTTTATCAACATGTACTAAAATTTAAATTAAGTTCGAAGTATATATTATATTTTTTAGGATAAGAGAAGGGCGGGGTGAAGGTATGCGTGTACTACTAAGACCATAAATTAGAATAAAATAACCATTTCCTATGATTATTTTATTATTTTTTCTCAATTCTTAACCCTTAATCTTGACTAATTGATGTGGATTTTTAGAAATAAAGAAAATTATGATCGTTATTTTGAGAGACATAAAGTCTGACTTGTCGGTGATGGTGCAGGTCAATAACTTGGCATTGTATTGTCACAATTAGTTTATCTAAGAATGTAATTTCCTTATTTTCATTTATATGTTTTCTGAATAATATAAAGTATGTATAAAAAAATTATAATATATAATAACTTACTCTTTCGGTTGTTCAGAAGAAAATCTACATTATATCATTTTAATGCTGAAGTCGAATACCACAAAGATGTCAACGTGGTTTCTAAATCGTGTTGGTTACACACCCTTCTTCTCGAATTACACAACCTCATTTACAAGGCCACTTTGGTCTACTGTGACAATGTCAGATATATCTCTCTCCTGCAACCTCGTTCGACATTAGAGAATAAAACATATTGACATGGATATTCATCTTGTTCGAAAAAAAGTAGTTTGCAGTCATGTTGGTGTTCTTCATGTTCCTTCACAATATCAAATTGCAGATACTTTTACTAAATGCCTTCTTCTCATACTATTTAAGGACTTCAAAAATTGTCTCAGTATCAATCAACCTCCCTCTTCGATTGAGGAGGTACAATAAAGTTTATCTATACTTAATATACAATGATTTAATATAATTATAGTTATTATACATTATAAATTTTTATACAAACTTTACATTATTTAGAAAACATATAAATGAAAATAAGGAAATTACATTATTAAATAAACTAGGTGTGACAATACAAATAAACTAGATGATAATTTATGTTAAATAAAATAATTGATTAAATTTGTAGTATTTAATAAAATGAATAGTTGAATTAGTTTATAAATATAAAATATTAAAAAGACATGTTTAATAAATATTTAATATTTTTAAAAAACACTATAAACTTTAGACTAAATTTATTTTGGGAGGCTTAGTAGAGCGCAAGGCCCAATATATATGAGGAAAGCAGAGTATGACAAAGACCTCACAGATAATTCAAAATTATTATGTGCGATTCTATTTGAAATGACCAATAAATTTCATCGGATTCATCTGACGATCGTCCGCATATCATACTATCTTTTACATTTCACTTACAAATAAACTTCTCTACAAAAAAAGACTTAACACATCATATTCCTATACGTTCAATTCTATTTGAAATTTTACTATTTACTTCTCATACTAACTTAAATATTACAGTGCTAATATAATAATCAACTCAATTTATCTGAGCATCATCTTATTCTCACTTAGAAAAAAAATAACAGAATTAGCTAATTAAGAAAATGTTAAAATAATAAAAGTAAATTATATCAAACCATTTTTTAATCATTTACTTTTATAAATCGTAAACTATCAACTAATTTAATATACTTGTCAAACAAAGCATAAGTAAGTTGCCTCACTCTATGTAACCAAAAAGAAGTTACCTCAGAGTTAGAATTTCAAATAGGTAATGAATGATGTCACAACCGCAATAGATCATTCGAATAAGAGGTCTGCATTAGTATTTTATTTTATCTCCCAGATATCTAATAAAACCCAACAATTATACAAACGAATTTTTTTTAT